TCACCAACCCGTCTTTGAGTCACTCGGACCTTTTGGCGCTGCGTCTCAGAGAAGCGAGTTTGGCCGCCGCCGCTGCCGACTCCCGCATCCCCAGCCCACAGGACCACCACTCCAGAGGCTCCCCGAGGTCGCCAATAGACTCACCCTTCATGTACGAGAGGGGCAGCATGAGCATGTCTTCTGACATGATGGACGCAAACGGCGCCAACGGCCACATGATATCCTTTTTGACATAGTCGCCGGTATAGGTAGGATACTTTTCTGTTGTTTTGTGTTGATCTCTCTCTTTTCTGCTAACTTGCTTACTCTTCTACTTTTTTGACAGAGCCCTCTTGTACAGTTGCTACACTCCAGCAGAAGGAGTAATAACTATGTTTTCCCTTCATGTTATCGTTACTCTCTTGGATAATCATATAACTGCTTTGTTCATGTTCCTGCTGTCTTTTGTTCCTATTCCTTCTACCTTCCTAAAAATAAGTGCATGTATCTCTAATATCTCCCATATTAAGGGAAATTATAATTTCCTCTTTTCTTCCCTCCCCTCTTCCCCTATCCCCCCTCCCCACTCTCGCTCTCCCCCTTCTCTGTCTATCTTTTTATCTAATCTTCACGCTGACCCTTATGCAAACAAAATGACTATTGATGTTTATTCTTCTTGCTATTAATTGGAATGTTCCTGAAGTACATTTATGTTGAAGCTGAAATCAGCACAAACCCAATTAATGTGTCCACACATACGTTGCCTAGATTTTATATAAAAACCGAAGGAGAAGGGAATCAGCTCTATATTTCATTTTCTTGTTGTTGGTATCAACGCAACACTTCACAAGTTCAAACTTTCGCTTGTCATTCGCTTTGTCTTTCGCAATGACGTCTGTGTGGCTCAATGTGTGGTTCTTAAACGAAAACCTAAATCTTGCCCCACATCGAAAGAACACTGTCGTCCTTTGTCTTTCAACACTCATTGCTATTGTCACTAGACCTTCGTGTGGTAGATTTGGAATTTAAAAAAAAATGATAAACAAGAATAATAGCAACAACAACAACAGCAACAACAACAACAACAACAACTTTTACATCCTTCTTCCGCACTTCGATTAAAACACTCACTCGGCAGCTGCACTATTGCTCTCTCTCTCTCTCTTTCTCTCTCTCTCTCTCTCTCTCTCTCTCTCTCTCTCTCTCTCTCTCTCTCTCTCTCTCTCTCTCTCTCTCTCTCTCTTGTGGGTAGCCTAGGTCTCAAATAACGATCATTAGACACAAACAAAGCTTTCTGTAAGACAATCTCTTTTCTTTACATCTCCAACGCCGAGAAGCGCCCGGACTTGCTGTCCTCGCAGTGTAATAAAATATTGGAGGAGCCCCGAGCAAAAATAGCTATTAAATCTCCCAAGAAGTGATAATTGTCGCTGTCAGCGGAGGGAATCCCCCTTGTGCGTGTCTCAGTCGATGAAAGTCAAGAAATGTTGTCACCGGGAACGCGGGGAGAGAACGTCTTGCTTGTGCTCTAAGGGGGACCAGATTAGAGCGGGCGGGGAATTCTATCGCCTGGGAGAGCTGGAAGCTTTGTGTTCTTTTGACGATCTAATTGGGATTCTCATAACCGCTCTTGTGTTACGGGGCAGAATTGATATTTCATATGCCTAGCCTTTTCACTTTTTCTTAAACGTGTAAGATCTACATTTTTTGTTTGTTTGATTTGTTTTGCTAGAAAAGTGCGAGTATACTGCGATTACTCGGACTTATTAAGATAATAATAATATGTAATCATATTATCTTGGATTATCGCCGTCGGTTTTTTTTATTTCACTGCAGATTTTTACCCTACTGCTTTGAATTTTTTTTGCTACTTTCCCTATTGCTACTTCCTTCTCGTTCTTCTTCTCCTCCTCCTCACCTTGGCGATATAAATTATATCAGCAGCCGTTAACCCTTTCAGCTCTGCGCTCTGGCAGAAAAAAAGCAGGTGCTCGTTTGGGGTCCAGTAGGGCGTTAAACTTCCAGATATCAAAGCTGACCAAGGATATTAATTGCTCTCCCTTCGGTGAACCCAGAAAGTTGTCTATATTTTTATCTCCACTTGTCCGTTTGACCCCAGGCCCATCAAGGTGGATATAATAATTATAAAGAAGCTACAGCTTCACTATAAAAACAGCCTCGCACCAAACAATACTCTTTGTTGCCAAGCTTGTTCTTCTTACACACCTCCGTTTCCTATTAACTTTCGCTATCTTAATCAAGGGAAGTAATTCTAAGACTGCTTTGTAGCCCTTTCGGGTGAAATGGAAGAAGAGGAGGTGAAGAATGACAACATTAACAACTACGTGAACAGCGAGTAAATGTATCGAGAATGAGTCCGGAAAATGACACGAAAACGGAATCATTGTCTCTCGACTTCTCTCGAGAAATTGGATCCAGAAGCCTCCAGAGACGAGTAATTTTTTCTCTCTCCCACCTACCGGTCCACGTAACAGATTTCAACACCACTCCCTTCGTGGTTCAAGACTGCTTTGTGATCATTCTTCATCTGGCCTGTCTTTTGTGGAAAGCTCATTCTTTGTCGGGGAGGAAAGTCACGAAATGACCACTGTCTTGGCGTTAGTAACCGCATACGTTCTCAATGATGAATTTCGCTCATCTTTCTTTGCTGCGACGGACTGGTCAAAACAGGAAATGAACTGGTCTCTCCTACCGTTCAGTACTCGTGCACAGGAAAAAGCGACGCTTATGCCCGCTGATGGAGACTTTGTGTATAGATCTATATATACGATTCTGAAATAAGTGAGCTCCCTTGCCTGCTCGATGTGCGTAAGTAAGTGACATTTGAAGACGACTTTTCGGAAAATGGGTGTAGTTTACCTGACGTCATCGCGACACTTTCCTGTAGTTGTTTTTTTAGGGTCATTAATAGGTCGAAGATGAAGCTTTTTCATAACAGTCGTGGGGGAGATTTATCACGCTGTTAAAAAACAAAAAACAATCGGAGACGTTGGTGGCTATGATACTTGTGATGGATAATTATGTGTGGTGTTTGATGATTTTCTGCTTTTAGTTCAACACCTTGAAGAACAAAACTTGTTTTTGTTGTTGTTGTTTTGCGCATACAAGGACGACTTTCACCTGCCGGACAGCTGCGAGCGTGCAAAATAAATATACCCTTTTCGCCCTTCTGTCTTTGTTTCACCTTCAAGTGACGTCCTTTATTTTCGCTGACATGCCCCCACCAGTAGTAGAAATTTTCCTAGTTCTCGCAAGGCCAAAGTGCCTCAACTCATAGGTGTATGGAGCAAGAGCCGACGTGTTATTGCCAAGTGCGGGGCTTATTTTATCTTTTATCGACCACTTGACATAGTGGCAGCGCTTTCTCAGGGGTGTCTTCAAGTAGGTGTTGTTCTCAGATTGAACACATTCTTTTTTTTTTGTACTTTGTATTTTTACCAGCTTGATAATTCACACTTCGTCGAGCCTGTTCTTATATGAACAGATATTTCTTTCTTCCTATCTGTTTTTTTTTCTTTCTGTCTTTCTTTCTATCTTTCTTTCTTTTCTTTCTTTCTTTCTTTCTTTTTTTCTTTCTTTCTTTCTTTCTTTCTTTCTGTCTTTCTGTCTTTCTATCTGTCTGTTTTTCTGTCTGTCTGTCTTTCTTTCTTTCTTTCTTTGGGTCTGATTTTATTTATTTTATTCGTCTTCCTTTAGATAGCAGCAATCCCCTCTCACCCTCTTAGGCCCAAAGAGAGAGAGAGAGAGAGAGAGAGAGAGAGAGAGAGAGAGAGAGAGAGAGAGAGAGAGAGAGAGAGAGAGGGGGGCGGGAGAGAAAAAGAGAGAAAGAGAGAGAGAGAGAAAAGAGAGAAAGAGAGAGAGAGAGAGAAAGAGAGAGAGAAAGAGAGAGAGAGGAAGAGATGGATAGATAGAGAGAAAGAGAGAGAGAGGAAGAGATGGATAGATAGATAGATAGATAGATAGATAGATAGATAGATAGAGAGAGAGAGAGAGAGAGAGAGAGAGAGAGAGAGAGAGAGAGAGAGAGAGAGAGAGAGAGAGAGAGAGAGAGAGAGAGGTAGAGAGTGAAAAAGAGAGAAAGGGCGAGGTATGAAAAAATTAAGAGAGACTGCGAGCCCCCGTACATCAAATATTGCAACAGTAAACGTGTCACGATTTTCCAGAATAGAAGCGAATCGACATGAGGATCTTCTTACCTCTATATATTTCCATCTCATTATCATGACTTATCCCCTCGCTCTTTGTCAACTTCATTGTTTCTTGCTTGAATTCATACAAAAGAAGACATTTAATACGAGGACCTGCTGTATGGGGGCTATGTTCTCGAGACAAATTAAATACTTTTGCATCTGGCGTATAAGCAATCCTATTTTTCCTTCTTCCCTCATCCCACCATTCTATTTTTGTTATCATCATCATGATCATCATAATTATTTTTGTCGTTGTCGTTGATATTATATTTTTTTGGTTATTATTGTCATAATAATAATGACATTGATAATAATAATGGTAATAATAATAGTAATAATCATTATCTTCATTATTATTATTATTATTATTATTATTATTATTATTATTATTATTATTATTATTATTATTATTATTATTATTATTATTATTATTACTATTATAATAATAATTATTATTATTACTATTACTATTAGTATTATACGTATGTATGTGACTTGAACCAAGTGGGGAGGCTTATCTTGTTATTTAGTCGCCTGTTGGTGAAGGCATCTGGGTTTTATCTTATGAGTTCTGTTCTCTGACTCGTGTTTTATTGTTTTATTCTCTCTGGCGGGAACAACAGTGTAGGGGATGGTCGTCCTTTTGACATTTACTGTTCAGGTTAGCGCGCAGAACCGCAGGGCTGTGCCTTGGCGATGTCGAAAGCAAAGTGCGGTACTCGTGAATGACGTGTATAATATATATATATATATATATATATATATATATATATCGTGATCTAAACTTGGTTCTCTTTTGTCTAAATTTCCTCAGTTCAGTGCTGATTTCGAAAATTCATAGCACTGAAATGGGCCGAAAGAAGGTATTAATATCTATCAGAAAATATCGAATGCAACAGAGCCAAGTCATTTGGGGAAACTATACATAACAAACAATATCTATTATATATTTGGCAACTTGGAAACACATGTTTCACTTTTCCCATAAAATTACGACAGCTACAGAGTTGAAAGTTGGCAAGCACCTG